CATCAGGAACAAAGTACAACTGGTAGGAGATAGGCAGAGTGGAGTGGCCTACAGGCTGATGTCAGCAACACTAGGACAGACTGCTCAGCAAAGTTTAAATATACTAGGCATAATACAGAGTAGTGTCAAATTGTAGTTAAGGATGAACCAAGAGTTAGACGAAAACTTGGGCGTGTAGGAACACAGACATACAGGGGCTCAGTAACCAAATCATTTGATAGTTCCACCATTCTATAGACTCGTTGTGGGACACTTTGGGCAATGTTAAGATAACACTCACCCACTATTCACTCTTAGAGTACTAAGGGTCTAATTTTGGCATTAGATTTAAGTTCTGGGAGAACATAAATTCCTATTATGACTTTCACTGGGGTAAGTGTTAGGATTCAGGTTATTGAAGAGTTATTTATCAAAGTGAGATTGGATGTTAGGGATTGATTCTAATCTGGAGGGATTCTTCAAAACTCTTTATTTACATTTAGTTTGATGCCAAAAGCCCTGGTGCCAAAAGTCCTGCTTCTTGGCCTCGTGTCGGCATCAAAAACAAACTTACTGCCAGGATCACAGATACAAAATTATACAAGTTTATGAAGGCAGGGAACAATATGTCTTCACATACTTCAAATTGGAGCTGGAAAGGTTTTAGAAAAGTCTGCAAATCATTAATATTATATAATATGACAACTTCTGCAGTGTGGTACAAAGTGCAAATCAAACCAGTCTCTGCTATCATAGAAGCATGCATTCTAACATCTGTACCACAGTCACATCACACAGGCACACACAATAGCGTCAATTATCTACTAATCTACAAGTTTGCTTTTAAAATTATAGCTCCAAAAGAAAATACATGAGAACATTTTTCTTTGATTAGTAATGATGAACCCTATTTTTTAGATGCATTTCAATAAAACAAATAAAAATAGTCATATATTTAATGACTCTTGGTGTTAAAGGTTTACAAGCTTCCATTAGTTAGCCAAAAATGTGCCTTATTAATTCTTCCACTTTTCCAATATAGTGTTCAGTTTATGATTTTCTATTTTAGCAAAATTATTCCAATTTTCAAATATCTAACTGGTAGATCTGGGGCTGTTTTCTCCAGATGTCATCAGTTCTACTAGAATTATTTCATAGCAAGTAATAATTATAAGATTTATATTGCACTGTGTTTCTGAATCTCAGTGCCAGAATAAAACAACCCATTTTGTTTCTTTTTCCTCCTATGGGCAATATCTCAGGATACTTTGACAGATGGAGCTAGAGAAGAGAAACAATCCTTTTGCATAAATACATTCAAAATTGTCTTCATGCATGGTGAGTCTCATGCTCATTAATACCCACTGAACCTACTGGGCTATTGCTACACCCTGGGGTTAATAATTAGATATTTCCAATGACAACAAGTTAATTAAAGCAATTGCTTGTTTAGATGTATTCTAAGATAATGAATTTAAAGTTTGTCAAGAGGTTTTAGATTGCATTGCTGGCTGGAAGGCAATTCACAACATTCTTTTTTAAAATGATCATGTCAAAAAAAAAAAAGTCAGGAAAAGGGAGTTTAGCAAAATGCATACATTATTAATATTATTACTTATATTTCTCAATTATATAGCATCGGTTTTACGCAGCATTCTTCCTATACACATGTTCTACTACTGCACACTAGAATTCAATGCTCACTTTGCTAACAAATTCAGTGTAGATAGTCAATCCAGTTATTTTTTTTTAGCCTTCTTTTCAATTGTTGACTTGTCTTTTACAAAGTTGATAGGCCCAGGACAGAAAGTAGACAACAAAATCCTGACAGATATTCTAACATTTTATTGAGCTCACGCCTTTTCTGAGGGCCTGTTAAATACAAGGACCTGTAGAGAAGATTCTCCCTGCCTTTCATTACTTCTGTGTATCTGTGAATCCTTCCCCCTTTATTTCCTCCTACTGCTGTCTACCATCTAATGTGCTGCTGTTGTTGTTTGTGGATCTGTGGCTCCTCCATCTCTCTTGCTTCCTATTGATCATAGCCCCATACAGGTTATTTGCTTACCATACATTAGATCAGCGATCAATGTGGGGAAGTAGAGTACATGACATGAGGCCTACTTCTCTACAATGACGGGTGCTGCCACATACAGCCATAGCACAGATGCCGGTTCTATGTGACCATGCCATGCTTGCTCCTGTCGTCCCTCTTGGCAGCAGTGACATGAGCTAATCAATGTCAGGGAGGAAGAAAAGAACCCCGGATTTGTAGTTTTAAAAGATCGCTGCACAGTACAATTAGTTGGGGACTTCCAGGGCACACCAGAGCAGGAGAACACAGGACTTTCCCAAGTAAATCAAGGAAAGATCAGGGAGAAAGCAAGGCAATACAGTCAGAGCAAGAAGTGGAAAGTCAGTGATTTGTGCCTGAGCTGGATGACAAAGAGAGAGAGGGACAAAGAAATTGCCAGGATACAGTGAAAGCTGCGCTAAGGATTGAAGTTGACCCAGGCATCCCAGAGTGATTGGACAGCTAACCAGAGGGACCACTGCCACTGTGTTGCTGGGTCTGGTAAGAGGGTCTTGTAGCCACAACCTGTTGCCTCTACAGACTGAGCCCATAGGGACTGACTTCCCAGCTGCCTTATGACTCTACTACAGCCTGCAAGGCTTATTGTGACTGTTTTCATGTGCGCTCTCAGTATTCATTGGACCCCAACATTAGCTGGCTAAAGATACAGGACTAAATACCGTCCATTACAGCTGTTGCACAGAGACCATTGCATTACTTAGTTTAGAAGTACCTATCAGGAGGTACTTAGCCATTCTCTTAGAGTACTCTCAAACCCAATTGAAGTATTATTATTGACATTGCAGTTAATGTTTGTATGCACGTTCATTGCTAAAGTTGCTGATTAATATATTGATTCTAGTTTAGTAGTACAGAACCCTACTCAAAGTCACTTTGGCATAGCTATTACATTGTCTAGCAGACTTTTTCTGAATCTACCATCTGTGTTCTCATTTATGCTCCAACCACCTTTTATTCTAACTCATACCAATATATTGAGATCTTTTTCCACTTAACAGTCTCATCCCTTTTTTCTAGTAGTAATTCCCAGCAAAGATATAGGTACATATACTCATGCCTTTATACTGTATGTGCTTGCAATGGCTTTCATTTAACCAGGTTTGTCAAAAGGGGCTGAGGTTGTTCCTGGAGTCAAGATGCAGAAAAAAAAAAAACAAAATTACCAAGAGGCTCCTTCAGGGGTAGTGCTACAAGCATAAAGTCAAAGGCAAGAGCAAAAACACAGAGTGCTACAGTCTGAGGAAAAATGCAAAACCGTTAGCTGCCTGTAGGTACGAAGTGGCAGCTGTGGATTATAAAATGGTACTCTATCATTGACTTTAATTTTCAAGTATTTTTCACTTTTTGTTCTGGATTCCTGCTTCAGCATTCAAGGAATGCACAAAATAGAGATCAAACACACCCAATATACACTGCTTGGAAATAGAAAAAATAATTACCACAAGTTGTGCAGTGACACAGAACATGCAAATAAGTATAATAACTGTTTTCTAAGGAATAAATGTTGTAAGCAGTATTCCACTCCTCTGATTTCTATCTTTCAGTGTTTAATAAATTCTTCAAACAGGCAGCTATATGAAAACTTGCAAGTGGGAGGTAGGAAAAACAGGAATGTTAAAATTATAGATCACAGCTGCTAGAAACAGAGTTTGGTAACAAAAAAAATGGCTATTTATAACATACCATTCTGTGAAAATGATAGACATTTTATGACACATTACTACAAGTCAAAAGTGTATTTACATACTGTATTTGCATTTTTATTTCAGAAACCCTTTAAAGACAAGAGCTGTGTTACAAAATATTTCATTTTATTAGTAAAATATGTGTGGATAAGATGGCCATGCCTTCGTAAGATGTTCTTTCCCTCTTGTTACATGCAGCAGCTTGTCAAAGCCCATTCTGTACCCTAGTTGATTCTCTTACCAGTACTGAAGTAGATGAATGAAACTAAACATTGAATGATCACATTTCCTCTTGCTGTGATTTCCTTAGGAGTATTTTATTGAGGCTTCGTTCACACCATGGTACAGAGACATTGTTTTTTCTGCACGCATTCTGCAAGAGCTCAAAGAAAACAATTGTTCTCTATGTGCCCTGTTCACACCACAGCACGAGTATCACGTGCAGATTTTTTCTTTGCAGGAATCTGCAACGTGTATAAAACTAATTGAAATGCACGTGAAAACTGATGTAAACTCATGTCTCTGCAAGTGATATTTGTGTGTTTTTTCCATCAGTTTTTCTGCACGTTTGGTGTGAATGAGGCCTTAAGGTTTCATCATACAATAGTGTCATTCTCTATATAGTGTCTTGTTTTAACCAATGTTTCCTATGCTGGAGAGTAAAGGAATATTCTTTTCTTCAAATTCAATATTTATTTAATACATTCTCCAAATCAAATAAAAAACATAGAAATCGTATGCTCATACACCAAGAGAACATACAAAATTATCGCTCAAATTGTAGGTGAGCCATTTCACATATCATCATAAATGAGTATATTACACATAATTAGAGGAGTGTAATATCACTCAAATCTTGCTTAGAAGTAGTTATAACTACATATAAACAACAACATATAAAGATATAAAATGGATAAAAGTAAACTAAAAACTAACATCTTAAGGGAGGTTATTTAATAAAGCTGGAGACTGCAAAATCTGGTGCAACTCTGCATAGAAACCAATCAGTTTTCTAGGTTTTAATGGCAAAGCTTAATTGAACAAGCTTAAAGTGTTACTAAACCCAGGACCCTGCATCCACTATATCTGGTCTCCCACAGTACAGAGAACATGGAAGTGCAATTATTTTAGTAAATATAAACTGCTAAATGCCTTTTCTCATCAGCAGTTAGAGCAGTCTTGTGACTTCTATCAGTGTTCGGCAGAGCACTGGTTAAAGCTTGTAGGAGGAGTTTTTCTTTCTGCTCTAGGAGGATGAATAACTCCTGACCTTTGCCTGGACAATGCTGATTGGCTCTGTGCTGATCACATGCACTCTCCCAAGAAAAAAAAAAACCTCTCTAGCAATACACACTAAACTGAGCATGTGCAGAATGGCTAAGGGTTCAGTATGTCTTATCAGGAGATAAAACGTGGATATTTGATCAAGAGGAGGGGCAGAGAAGACAGGATCAAACGGCCTTTTACACAATGCAGAGGATTAACATCTTAGGTTCCACAGTGAGCATAACAAGCATGCTTTACTGCGTATACAGATGATTCTACTGTTGTGGGTTTAGTAATACTTCAAGTTAGAAGCTGATTGGCTACCGTGCACAGTTGCACCAGATTCTAAGTGTACCCATTTTAAAAAATCGCCCTCAAGGAGCCAGAGTATCACAAACATAGATCAATGTTTCAGATATAGGCGTGTAAGTATCTATGATCATTCTCACAATAGTAATGTTAACCACTTGCCCTCCAGAGCATTTACCCCCCTTCCCAACCAGACCATTTTTTTGCAATATGAAGCTGCGTTACTTTAACTGACAATTGCACAGTCATGCAATGCTGTACATGTCCATTTTTTCCCATAAATAGAGCTTTCTTCGTGGTATTTGATCACCTCTGTGTTTTTTATTTTTTGTACTATAATCAAAAAAAGACCGCCAATTTTGAAAAAAAAAAAACAATATTTTTTACTTTTTGCTATAAAACATATCCAAAAAAAAATTAAATGTTGCAATAAATTTAGGCTAAAATGTATTCTGCTACATGTTTGCTACAAATGGCGGTATATATTGGAATTTGAATTTTTTTTTTATACTAGTAATGGTGGCGAACAGCAGGACTGCGGCGGGCTATCTGACATTGGGGGGAACTGACTAACAGCCACTGCCATCCCCCGTGACACTAATACAGTGATCAGTGCTAATAAAAAGCACTGACACTGTACTAATGACACTGGAAGGAAGGGGTTAACTTTTGGGCAAAGGGCTAACTGTGTGCTGTGTGTGTTTTACTATGTGTGCTGTGTGTGTTTTACTACGGAGACATGCTGCTTTGTTTTTCTCTGCTGTGCAGAGAAATACAAAGCAGCATGTCCTTGCTGGCAGAAGAGAGAACGGTGTTGTTTACACAGGTCTACCCCGTCAGCTTTATACGGCAATCGCCGGTTGCCGGTGGGGAATCTCCGGCTGGGACCCGGTGACTGACATCACTATTCACCAATATATATGTGATTTTGCTCAAACCCTGCCCCCCTGCAGCAGTACTTCTACTATAGGGTGGCGGGCAAGTGGTTAATGTTTATATTTTGTCGTATAATGTCCCCCATACCAGATTTCCCATGGATGCGATGCATCACAAACCTAAGTATGTCCCATTGATAGACGCAAAGTGGATTGTTTTAATCTATTTGGATATGTCAGGAGGAGAGGTTGATTTCCATTGTGTAACCAACGACAATCCAGCTGCTAGAGGGATGTGTGTCACTACCATTATCAAGAAGGGAGGAATATTTAAATGTCCAAGTTTAGAATAGCTAGGCCAGAAGAGATGGGTATTTGAAAAGCTATCATTCAATATAATGTGAAAGATAGGTAGGATTCAATTTAAAAACACGGTAGATACCAGAGTAACACTCGTTTTTGCATAAGTTACCATAAATTAACATTTCTAGTGGCTGTGTACATACCTGTAGATCAAAGTACCATTTCCCATTGGACTGTTGTAAATATACAGCCTACGTCAGCCTCTCATGTGGTGTAGGATGGAGTTTTAATAAAAGGTATTTATGTCTTGCAATAGCAAGCAAAATATACTGTAGATATACCTGCTGGATTCCTTTCTTTAATTTGCAAGGAAAAGTAAAGTAGCAGAAAAATCTATAGGACTAGGCTAGGAATGGCAGAGCCAGAGCAAAATTAAATTTTTAGATATTGTGCCCCATGGCAGTACACTCAGCATTTGAAGTTTCACCACTATTTCAGAAATTTTTCATTACACCAAGTTAGATGTAATGGTAAAGCATTTAAGATATTTATAATGAGATACTGTCATTTTGCCCTCTCAGGGCAAAGTGATGTGGACTGTGTAATGGCTCTCCCTTTCAACCCACTTTAAATCACCTCTCAATCAATCCTATGCCCCTGTCAATACCTAAAAAATAAGGGGTATGTGGGAGCATATGACCTGCTCCCGTGTAACAGTGCTTGACTCTAATGTCTTATAATTGTCTGTAATTGCATATAGGCTCACTCATTAAGGTCATTAGAGAAGTCAGTCACTCATCCATAAATTCACAATCAATGTTTCAGCAACTTTCCAGGCAGAAATGTAATTTAATACTGTATAATATAATAAATACTGTATAATAATAATTTAAGCCAACTATGGTTTCCTTTAAAAAAAATATTTAGTTTATTTTCCTATGCAGCACTGTGCACAAATCTACACAAATGTGCAGGGGGGCAGTCTTTGCTGTTTACAGTAGCTCAAAATGTACACAACTGAATGGCTTATCTCAGAGATTCCTCATTAGATGGTGTGACAATTACACTTTCAGATCTCATCACTATGACCAGAATGTAACAACAACAAAGTCAGCCTCAACTCTGAGATTTTGCAGCTCTCACAACAATAATCAATGCCACTGTCTTTATCCAAAACTGGAAATTTGGCTACATGGCTCACAACCAAAAGGTGCTTCCATGTGCACAAAGGAACCAAGGGACTGGTTCTTTGTTGGCATGACACTCTGCAGCTCAGTGCTTTGCAGCTTACCTCTCAGGCTTAGCCTGGTGCTAGAGAAACTTCAGGAACATCATAGGGTCAGTAGCAAGTGTAAGCTGCAGTGCCATTTTGGGTACAGACCAGGGGTGGACTGACCATTTGGAAACTCGGGCACTGCCCGAGGGCCCGGGGTCAATAGGGGGACCCATGAGATGCCCCTGGTACCTATTTCATAGGCTTTTTTGAGTTTTGGCAAGGACACAGGGGCCCCATAAACCCCTATTGCCCGGGGGCCCCATGAGTTGTCAGTCCACCCCTGGTACAGACAGAAAATCTGGTGCTGGTATGCTCAGGCTGTGGATCAGAGGTTGTACCAGTTATTACATTAGACTCAGTCCTTATACCCTCACCTGGCCACTTGTACCTAAGAGAGACAGAACACCTTCTTCTGCAGGCTCCTCCATAATCTGTGGAGTCTAGATATCTGCCTATTGTAAATCAAACATCAGGTCCTCCTTTAATATTTCATAGATCTCAGTCTGCCTTGCCTGGCACACATTTGTCAGATTGTCTTTATTGGGGATGACCCGAACTTACCTGAATGTTAATCAAAACCCCATTGCAGTCAATAGAGGCTGAATCTTTAAAAACAATTCTGACCATTTTCAAAGATAATAGTAAAAAATAAAAGTAATTGTTAAAAAAGGGCCTGGGGAACCTGATCCCTTGTCTTCCCTTCAAAGCATCTGATCAAACACAGATCGGTTTGATCAGATTCTTCCCCAACTGTCCCTGCCAGGGAAACACAGCACCAAGGCCAGAAGTGAAAAATCCTTTTAAGCCTCATTAGTCACAGAGGTGATAGGGGAATAAATGTTCCTCCATCTCTTCTGTGTGCAGCCAACCTGACTGCTTACAACAGTCCTGGGATTCCCGGAGGAATGCAGCTGCAGCCATGATCCTAGTATAACTGCTTGACGGATACATACAACCTCTGGGCTGGATGTAGTATACGTGAAAACATTAACAATGCACAATCTTGAGGGGTGTGGCTTGAATATGGCTGAGTAGAGATGTGCTGACCGGGAGCTTAATCTTGGCTTTTACATGCTATTGATACACCGGCATGCTGTCAGCCAAGAAGCACAAGACCAAGTCTGAACACAAACCTTCCAGGGCCTCTGGTTCTGAAATCCATCGTTTTTTTCCTCAGGAGTCAAGATGGCAGTGCCACGAGGTTCTGAGAACTGCCCTTCTACATTGCTCCACTATCATCCTTGGCACATTCCGGGTCATCTGATGCCCTCTCAGACACTGCAGCGGCTCTGCTCCTGGCCAGCCCAGGCTTTCAGAGTCCCTCTGACACTTTTTCATCTGGCAGGTCCAACGAAGAACTCTGGGCTCTGCTACAGGCCCTCCCTACCAAGGCAGACATAGAGGCTCTCATTCTTTGCCTTGAGGACTCACCTCGTCAGGATCTGCAGGCCATTCGGGCGAAGGTCCAGACTTTGGCAACTTGTATATCTACTGGGGAATCCTATACCACAGCTTAGATACAGAGGGTGGCAGCCTTGGAGGCGGCTCAGGTGCACCAAGCCAATAATACTGTGGCTCTCCAATTACATTTGGAGGATCTGGAAGATCAGAGCCGCTGGAACAACTTGTGGAACTGAGGCCCAGAGAACCTACAGGACACTGTTATGACCATACTACAGAGGGTTCTGGATACAAACCCCCCCCCCGGTTGTGGTGGAGCTTGACAGGGTTCATAAGGCTCTGGGCCCTCACTTCTCTGACCCGAATAGGCCCGTTATTTGCCTCTTTCATCGCTACACCCAGAAGGAGACCACCCTTAGGAGGGCCTGGGAGCTAGGCTCTGTGGAGTTTGAAGGAGTTGAGGTTAAGATCCTGCCTGATCTTTCCAAGCCCGCCTTACTGCACCTTATCCTAGAAAAAGCCTTTCAGCAGGGCCTTACCTATTGTTGGGGATTTCCCCTGACCAGGGGCGGACTGACAACTCATGGGGCCCCTGGGCAATAAGGAATCATGGGCCCCTGTGTCCATGCCCAAACTCAAAAAAGCCTATGAAAAAGGTACCAGGGGCATCTCATGGGGCCCCCTACTGACCCCGGGCCCTCGGGCAGTGCCCGAGTTTCCAAATGGTCAGTCTGCCTGTGAGGGACCACCGGACCACTAGCACTCCACTGGTCAGGCGCGCCCAGAGCGCGGAGTCTAAGCCCCAGGGTACTTGTTCACCAGGGCCCCCGATGGTGGGGATGGACTTGTAGTACCCCGGGACCAGGTCGCCACTACTGAGCACACCTGTCAGTGGTAGGGGTGTTCGCCAGGGGCTCCAACCAGGGAGAGCCAAATGTAAGGAGGTCGGGTGACCCCGATGGGATGGATGGCTGAGCAAGTGCGAAGTCAGACAGGCTGAGTTGGTAACGTAGCGGGCGGTAAGGTACAAGGGAGCAGGCAGAGAATCGTCGGGTCACACGCCAGGTCAGCAACAGTAGGTCAGATCTAATGAGGGGCATTCAGGAAGAGAGGTCAGGCAAAGCAAGGG